GAGGCAGGAGACTCGCTTGAGCCCAGGAGTTGGAGGTTGCTGTGAGCTGTAATGCCATGGCACTCTGCCCAGGGAGACAGCTTGAGGCACTGTCTCAAAAAAAACAAAAAAAAAAAAGTTAAAAAAAAATGTATTTGCTAAATTCGCCTCCTTGAACTAGACCACTCCTTTACCCTCAGGTCCCCTTGCCCACTTTACCTGGCAGAAACCTGCTCCATCCCCTCAGCAGGGTGGACAACCCAGGCCCTGCCCCCAGGTAAGATCAGGCCCCTCTTATACATCCTCACTGCTTCCTCTCATGGGCACATGTGGGTATTCTTTCCAAATGTCTTCCTGCCCAAGGATTTGAAACTCCCTGAGGGCAGACACTCCATCTTTCAGCAAAGTCTGACATGTAGTAGGCATGGAACAAAAATCTGCTTAACTGATGTGTGAACGAATAACGTATTAACTGTGTGGTTCAATCTCCCAGGTGGGAATTTGGGGGCACACACGAAATCAAGAAGGCCCTGCTGGTCTTGATTGTGGTGGTATCTCTGGTTAGTACCCAGAGCCCAACCTGGCCCTCAGCAGAGCTGAAGCTCCCAAGAAAGGACTTACCGCCTCATGGGACTTGGGGATGGGTACAATGATGGCCAGCACACAGATAAGCTGGAAGATGGCCCCCAGGAAGAGGCCGTACCGTAGCAGGTTCTCCAGAAAAGTCGGCTCAGGCACCTCAGGAGGTGAGAAGTCCAGGTCAGAGGCCATGGCCAAGCCCCCTGTTGCCTGAAGTCTCTTCTGATTCTCCACTCTCCAAAGCCAACTAGTAAATGCAAAGGGTCAAGTGTCACGTTTCTACAACTGAGTTTAATGCACACACACACGTCAAGAATACACAGCAACTGCAGTGAAATGCTAACAATTTCAGAATCTGACAGAAGACACATGGAGAGTCACTGAACCATTCTTTCAACTTTTTTATATGTTTGATGACTTCTAAAGATAAGGAAAATAAATAAGCAAATGCAAAAGGAAACATTTTAGCAAGAATCTCAAACACATATTTACTGAAGGTCTGCTGCATTTCAGGCTTTATTCATTTATTTGTCATCTGGTCATTCGTGTGACAAATATTTATGGAACACCAAGCACAGAAGATTGAGGAGAACAGCAAACCCCCGCTCTCCTGGGGTCCACCCGCTCAGGACAGAGGCAGACAATGAGCACACCGAGACGTGATGTGCCAGGCAGTGATAACTCCTTTGGGAAAAACGTAAGAAAGGCATCATTTTCTTGTGTACAGGGTGACAGACAGGGCCTCTCTGGAGTACAGAGATGGAAATTAAATGGTAGAGATGTGCAGTGAGTGAGTGAGCCCTGCCTATAATACCTGAGGGAAGCACGTTCCAGACCAAGAGAAAAGCAAGTATGGAGGCTCTGGGGTGGGGAAATGAGATCAATACATAGCGAGTTCAGAAATAATCACTATATATATGGTCAATTGACTTTCTTTTTTTTTGAGACGGAGTCTTATTATGTTGCCCTCAGTAGGGTACCATGGCCCATAGCTTACAACAACCTCAAACTCTTAGGCTTAAGTGATTCTCTTTCCTCAGTCCCCCAAGTAGCTGGGACTACAGGCGCCCGCCACATTCCCGGCTATTTTGTTATTGTTGTCATTGCTGTTTAGCAAGCCCAGGTCAGGTTCAAATTATCCAGCCCTGGTATATGTGGCCAGTGCCTATCCACTGAGCTACCAGCACCAAGCCATGGTCAACTGACTTTCAAATAAGCATACCAAGACCATTCCTGGGAAAAAGACAGTCTTTTCAACAAACAGTGCTAGGAAAACTAGATATTCACACTCAAAGGAATGAAGTTGGATACTTAGAAAAGAATCAAGGGGAAATGTTCATGACATTGAAGTTTGTGATGATTTCTTGCATATGACATCAAAGCATAAGCAACAAAAGAAAATATAAATTACACTTCACATCAAATTAAACTTTCATGCTTAATAGGACATTATCGAGAGAGTAAAAAAACAACACAGAAAATGAGAAAGATATTTTTAAATCATAACCATCTAGCACCCAGAATATACAAAGAACTACAAGGGGCTGGGTGCAGAGGCTTACACTTATAATCCCAGCATGTTGGGAGGCCAAGGCAGGAGCTCAGGATTTCAAGACCAGCTTGGGCAACAGCAACACCCCCATCTCTACAAAAAAAAAAAAAAAAAAAATCAGCTGGGTGTGGTGACATGAGCCCATAGTCCTAGCTACTCAAGAGGCCGAGATGGGACAACTGCTTGAACCCAAGAGTTTGAGGTTGTAGTGAGCTGTGATCATACCAATGCACTCCAGCCTGTGCAACAGAGCGAGATGTTATCTCTTAAAAAAAAAAAATTAAAAATAGGACGGCGCCTGTGGCCTAGTGGGTGGGGTGCCAGCTCCATATACCAAGGGTGGCGGGTTCAAACCTGGCCCCAGCCAAACTGCAACAAGGAGATAGCTGGGGGTTGTGGTGTGGTCCCAGCTGCTCAGGAGGCTGAGGCAGAAGACTTGCCTAAACCCGGGAGTTGAAGGTTGCTGTGAGCTGTGAGCTGTGCCGCCACAGCACTCTACCAGGGGAAATGGAGTGAGACTCTGTCTCTACAAAAAAAAGAAAAAAAAATTAAAAATAACTATAACACAACAAAAATCAGAACAACCCAACTAAAAATGGACAAAGGACTTGAAGAGACAATAGACCCATTTAAGTATGTCTTGAATATGTTTGCATACATACATTCATGTATATGTGTAGCTCCAAAAAAGAGATACAAATGGCCAACAAGCACATGAGAAGACACGCAGCATCATGAGTTGTTAGGAAATGCAAATCAAAACCATAACAACTTTTTCTCTGGCCTAGGCACAGTGGCTCACTGTAGGAGGCCAGCACTCTGGAGGGCGGGTGAGGGAGGGATCATTTGAGATCAGGAATTCAAAGACCAGCCTAAGCAAGAGTGAGACCCCATCTCTACTAAAAATAGAAAAAATTACCCAGGCCATGTGGTGGGTACCTATAGTCCCAGCTACCTGGGAGGCCGAGGCAAGAGGATTACTTAAATCTAGGAGTTTGAGGCTGCTATGAGCTAGGCTGAAGCTATGGTACTTTAGCCTGCAGTAACAGAGTGAGCAGGATTCTGTCTCAAAAAAAAAAAAAAAAAGGAGGTACCACTTCATACAATAGGATGGTCACTAACAAAGGAAAATAAGTGTTGGTAAGGATCTAAAGGAATTATTCACACACTGCTGGCCAAAATGTAAAATGGTATTGCCCCTGTAGAAATTATTTGAGGGGTTCCTCAAAAAGTTAAAATAGAATTATCAGCTCAGCACCCGTAGCACATTGGTTACAGTGCCAGCCACATACACTGAGGGTGGCAGGTTCGAACCTGATCCCAGCCAACTAAACAACTGCAACAACAACAAAAAAGAAAAGCTGGGCATTGTGGCAGGTGCCTGTAGTCCCAGCTACTCAGGAGAATCGTTTGAGGTTGCTGTGAGCTGTGATGCCACAGCACTCTACTAAGGGCAACATAGTAAGACTCTGTCTCAAAAAAAAAAAAAAAATTATCATACGACGTAGAAAATCCACTCCCAGTATATACCCAAAAGAATTATAGCAAGGACTCAGATACCAATGTTCATAGCAGCACTGTTCACAAGACAGAAAACGGTAACTACTAAGAGTTCATCAGCAGATGAACGGACACATAAATGTAGCATATACAATGAAATATTAGCCTTAAAAAGGCACAAAATTCTGATGCATGCTACAACATGGATGAACCTTGAAAACATTATAAACTGTGAATAAATAGGATGTGAAATTAGCCAGACACAAAAGGACATTGTATGATTCCACCTATACAAGGTACATACCTAGAGTAGGCAAATTCATAGAGACAGCAAGTAGAATACAGGTTACCAGGGGTAGGGGACAGGGGACCTGGGGAGGTAAGGTTTAATGGGAATATGGAGTTTCGGTTTTGGTAGATGAAGAAGTTCTGAAAAATAGCAGTGATGATTATGTAACACCGCAAAGGCCCCTGAATTTTATACTTAAAAATGGTCAAAATGGTTAGTTTTGTTACATATATTTTACCACAATAAAAAAATTCACCTGTTTCTTCCTACTTTTTATTTATTGTATTATTTTTGTTGTTGTTGTTTGTTGTTGTTATTTTATTATTTTTTTGAGACAGTCTTACTCTGTTGCTGGAGACATTGAGTGCCACAGTGTCAGCTTCACTCACAGCAACCTCAAATTCCTGGGCTCAAGTGATCCTATCTCAGCCTCCCAAGTAGCTGGGACTACAGGTGCCTCACACCAACAGTTGGCTGATTTTTCCATTTTTAGTAGAGACGATTTTGCTCTTACTCAGGCTGGTCTTGAACTCCTGACCTCCAGGGATCCTCCTACCTTGGCCTCCCAGAGGGCTAGAATTACAGGCCTGAGCCACTGTACTTGGCCTCTTTTTGACTTTTTAAATGTGGCTACTGGATAATGTAGCTAGCTACTGAAATTACACATGTGACCTGTATTAAACCTCTGTGGGATGGCCCTGGGCTAAAGGGACTGTCACTGAGCCTTCACTGCTTTGCACCATGTTTCCAACATGAAGTGACCAAAGATAATAAAAATAACCTCCTAAGTAGACAGAGTGGGACTTATACAAATGAGCACTGCTCCCTTTTCAACCTGGTCATGTCAGAAGGTCATGTGCCTGGGCCAACTGCTCACACCAGTTCTGTCTACTTCGGGAATGACCTTCACAGCCAGAGGCCTCTTTTTTTTTTTTTTTTCCCTAACAGAATCCTCAGAACTGGCAGTCTTCATCCTCCCAGGAAGGATTTGACTTCTGGAAAGACTCCAACATCACCTGATTCCAAGCGTGCTGAATCAGGTGGGGCACTGAGCTCAGGAATACCATTTTTGGTCAAATACAAAGTATGACGCTCCGACTCCAGGCAGATTATTTGGGGCGGCTAAACTGGCCAAGTAAATGCCAGGGTGGCTGCAAGAACAGCTTCACTAGAGGAAACCTGCGGCCCCTACAGGAAACTGCAACAGGAATACCAAGATTTTTAAAAGTGCTCTAATTTCTTCAGTTATACCTTATCAAGTGTTCATTTTTAGAAATGCCCTTGATCCCAAGCTTTATGCTTAAAGGTGTAACAAGCCTACTTAGAAGCCTGCTAGGCTTATAGATACTCAGACTTATTAGTCACTAACAACATTGTTCTAAATATTTGGCGTGACACAACAGAAAGATGGGACAAGGGTCCGGAAGCAGGAGGCACAAACCCTATCAGCAAGTAAGTGGCTACACTTTGGGCTCATCTCTTGACCTCTTGGAGACTTGATGTTCTCAGAAGCCAAGAGACAATGATAGCTATTCAAACTTGTAATACATTTAGGCTTTTGTTTTTTAACGGCCATTAGGCAATATACACCAAGGGCCGTAAGAGTGATTATATCTTTGGACTGAATAACTTACTTCCTAGAATTTATAGTAAGGAAACAATTAAAAACAAGAAAAAGCCCCTAGGCACAAAAAAGTTCATGGCGGTACTATCTGTAATAATGAAAAACAGGAAGCAACTGAAGTGTCCAACCAGTAAGGAAGCAGTTAACTCAATTACGATGTATCATAGTATAATCCCCCTTCACTAACGTGGCAGATATGAACACTGTGTGTCAGGTCAGTGGAAAGTCATTTGAAAATAACATTAATTTTAAAAGTAAGCAACTGTATAAACACTGTG